TAAGTACAAGTTCCTGAGATGACCCTTCATCCTTTCAGACCTTAAGAAAAAACTGAATGTTTGATTTTCATTCCCTGAGGGGAACAGAGAAGGTCATCAGCTGCTGACATCGTGATTCACTTCACTCTGATGGTCGACTGTATCCAGTGTTGGGGAGTAACAGAATACATGTACCGCCGTTACGTATTTAAAATACAAAATATGAGTAACTGTATTCCGTTGCAGTTACTGTTTAAAAAGGTGGTATTTAGAATACAGTTACTTTGTTGAAATAAATGGATTACACGGCGGTACTTCCCTGTTTCATATTGTCACAGGTCAGGACTGTTTGGGTTTTGTTTGACAGCTATGTTCTGTTGTTCCAGGCGGCAGCGTTACGGTTGCCACGGTTACAGGGTGACGCTTGCTCTCTGCGTGTTTCCTGGGTGAGAGAGCGCCTTTTTGTTGTTGTTGTGCTAAGCTAATAGGCAGAATGCTACAAGCATAGCTCTAAAGAATGTAGCATCATGGGCAGTGTAGTCCATGCTGCAGGGAGAATGGACTGCCATACCCGTTATGTGTCTGTGAGCGAGAGAGGGAGAAAAAGAAAAAGTACGAGTTGTCATCGAGCAGAAACGGGAGCTGGAAGCATGTAAATATAATAATAACCACTGCAGCCAAAAAGACTGCCTGACGAGCCCAGCTGTAAGTAAGCTATTAAGACTCAACTGTACACTGTGTTCATGTTTTCCTACAAAAACAATAAGTTCCGTTGGAGCCTTTCAACGCCTCTCTCTGTCTCTCGCAAGCAAAGTTGACCCACACAGCAAAGTAAAGCTATTTTTCGGCTACGAGCCGACAGGGACCCCGCCGTATTAGCCAGAGGTCCCTTTACTACGGTTCGGAGCCGCGGACTTTCAGTAACAGTAATAAATCACAGCAACAGTACATTCGTTGTAAACAGCATGATAATATATTAAGTAATCGAAAGTATTCAGAATACATTACTCTCATTGAGTAACGTAACGGAATACGTTACAGAATACATTTTGGGGCATGTATTCTGTATTCTGTAATGGAATACATTTTAAAAGTAACCTTCCCAACACTGACTGTATCACTGTATAACATGACATGACAAGCTGGCTGTGCACGGGCACAGTTAAAGTTACTTTAAGATGAAATACTTTATGAAAAAAGAATTATGACTTTATGATGGATTATTTAGTGATGTGATTATTTAGTGTGATTATTTAGTGATAAATACATTTATACTTTATGATAAATGAATTGATAAATGATAAATTACCCCTTTTTCAATCGGTACCTTATCATGGTGAATGGGTTTGTGTGTCCCTGGAGTCCCAGGGGCTATGTTGTCAGGGGCTTTTTGTACCCTGGTAAGGTCTCCCATTGCAAATTGGTCCTGGGAGAGGGACCAGACAAAGAGCAATTCAAAAAACCCCATGAGCAGAAGACCAAGGGAACCATTCACCCCGCCCTGAAGCCAGGGCCAGGGAAGGTGCCTGAGGACGATAGTCTGGTGGCTGGGCCTTAATCCATTGAGCCTGGCTGGGCACAGCTCAAAAAAGGGACATGGGTCCACCTTCCTGTAGGCCCATCACCTGAAGGAGGCGTCGTAGGAGTTGGGTGCAACGTGGGCTGGGCAGCAGCCATGGGTGGAGACCCTGCGGACCAATCCCCAGTTACCGAGACAACCAATGGAATGTCACCTCTCCGGTAGCCTGAGTTAGTGTTTGAAGTTGAGAGATACAGGATAGATATAGTCTGGCTCACCTCAACGCACCCAAGGCGTGCGTTGAGGTGCCCTCTCTGGGTCAGGGACGAGTTCTGCCCCAAATAGAGCAGTATCTCGGGGGTCTTGTGCACGAGTAAGTGGAGAAGGGGGTGGGATTGATGCATTGGTGCTCCGGCTGCAGTATTGCGGATGTTGTACTGGTCCGTTGTGGTGAAGAGAGCCATGCGTGAAAGCGAAATTCTTAATTTACCGATTGGCCTACGTCACTACCCTCATCTATAATCACAAGCTTTGGGTAGTGACCGAAAGAACAAGATTGCAGATACAAGCACCGGAAATTAGCTTTCTGAAAAGCAGTGGTTCGCAAACTGGGGTACGTGTACCACTGGTGGTACTTGGGCTCCCTCTAGTGGTACGTGGGAAGTCTCCAGATTCAATAATATAGCATGTTCTGGCTGAGGGATTTCAGAAAAACTAAAACGTACAGCTCTGCTATCACTTCCAACATAAATGAAGACAGGAAACTAAAGAGCAGTGACGTTCTTAGGGTTACTGAAGTTGGGCTAGCTGGTATATAATGATGTGCTACATGATCGCTAGCGACACACCTATGTTAGCATAACATAAACACAGTGAAGTCGGAGGATGAACGCTAGCTTTTTTCCACTTGATAAAAGTTAACAAGAGGATTCACGATGGTTAGGGACAAATGCAATAGCATGGCAGGATGCTGTAAACGGACTAAACTTCAGTCAGGAGAACAACTGAGATAATCCATCCACAATACGAGGTTAGTCATTAACCCTTTAAAACCGGTCGAAGCGGGGACGCTCCGTTTTGCATAACTATTTTTAAATCCCTGTAGAACCGGAACCATGTAAGCTAGCGCAATAATTTTTTTTGCATATGAAACCGGAAGTGACGTCATTTTCGCGGAAATGTAGTTTTTTACCTTATGAGTCTATACTGGTATTTTTAAAAGTTATGTTTGACTTTATGCTTTTCTGAATAGTTTCTGGGATACTTAGAACTCAAATTGCACTGTTGGAAATTGTTTATTTTGATGCATATGCTGTTTT